CACACACACACACACACACACACACACACACACACACACACACACACCTGTAGCAAATGAACTCTCCAGCCTCGGAACCACTTCTACTTTAACCAAGCTTTTTGAGATCTGTTCCTGAATTGAAGTTATGTCCTGACAACTCTGCAATACACTTATTAGCCTACACAAATTGTAAGCATTGTTCTTCTTACAGAAGTTAACACCACTCCTACCCACCTTGTCAGCTAGCTCCTTTTCCGACGGTCAACTCAATACTTTCTACCTTCAACCTTCTGAAGGGTGTGGAGGTGGCGTACACAGAACTTGGGATAAGACAGTATTTGAAATATCTTTTAGTGTGCCTACATCTTGTCAGCAATCCATCAGTTAGGTATTGAAATTATCCATTTCTAAGACATTGGGGATCAAAGTCTTGGATTTGGGGATGCTTCTTAATGGACTGAAGCTGCTCACTCTGCACGGTCTGTCAGCCAGAACTTCTTAATACTGTTTCACACGATGCGAGGCTACCAGCATTTGCCCAGTTAGGGTCTTGCCTTTCTCATACATTAATCTACTAACTGCTTTATAGTTTACACATTTCTGCCTCAAATAATTTGACGGTAGAGATCAAGGACAACCAGTTCTTTGACTCTAAGACCCATCCCATTTCCTTTTGCAAACACAGCCTGGAGGAACATGACCAAACCACATCCCACGCTCTCTCCCACCATCACCGCTCATGTTGTTGCCCAAGTCTTACAAACTATATCCCCTCGTGCTTTGAACACCAACATCCCCTCTTAAACCAAGAGACCCAACTCGGCAGTTGTTAGCTCTCATCAGAGAGCTCTACATTGCCCTGCCCCCGTTCACTGCTGTGTCCTTAGCCTGTCATCGTAGTCTGTGCTCTAGCAAATTTGCTGGCAGTTTGCCAAAGTGATGGTATTGCAGCTCCCCCACACAAAGTCACAGGGGAGGTCCAAAGACCTTGGAGAAAACGGGAGAGTGCTGTAAAACACTGGAAGGAAGCTGCAGCAGTGTGTGAGCACAGAACATTCAACACAGTAACACCTTCCTACGGGGGCTGTTAGCTGCTGCCAGGACACCAGCCCCAGCACTGGCTTCCAGCACCCTAGTGTAAGAGGTCATCCTCTGGATAGCTTCCCCTTGTAAATCCGTAGAGCACCGATTACCCAGACCTGGAACAGGCCAGTTCCTTCAGACTATTTCACCAGCTTCATCCTCCAGGTATGAACACTACCCATAAATCTGGTGGTTCCCAGTGAAGGTAACTTTTTGACAGTGTTCTCCGTTTCCTCTGTAATGGTCTCCACATACTTATTTCTGGAGTTGGTTTGTTAAATTTCGTTTTTCTCAGAAAAATCACACTGAAGCAGAGAATAAACATGCTTTCCCACTTAGCCCTTTATTGGGGAAAGTGATCTGAAGTACGCAGCACATGCTGACACATCTTTAGCCTGCCTTCGCTTTGGTCATATAAAGCACAACACCATGACACACGTATTTGTAGTCGACATCACAATCAATGTTTTCTGGTTAAGATACTAGTAGCCTAGCTGGAGAGATGGCTCAGCTGTTCCAAAGGCTCCAGGCTCGATTCCCGGCACCCACATGGCAGCTCACAGCCCCAACACTCCCGTTCCATAGAATCTGATGCCCTCTTCTGCACTCCACCAGTATTGCACTTAGATGGTGCACAGCCATACATGCAGGCAAAACATGTAAAATAAAACGTATCCTTAACAAAAGAGACACTAGTAGCCACAGCCATCTATTATTTGCACTTAGTAGAGTGTCTGGTAAGTAGGTGAAGGTTCTGGGCCCCAGCCAACGAAGATCCAAGTCAACAGGAATCGCAAGTCCTGTTCCAGGGAATGTTCTCTTGGCGCCCTTCCCTACACCGCAGGAGCATTGGCTTCAGCTTTTAGGACACGAGACGTTAGGAACATTAAGGTTACAACTTTAAAAAGCTCATCTGTATCAGTGAATGAACAGGCAAAGGCTCAAATGTTCTCCATTTTACAAGTCAAGGCCATTTTTAAACTTTTATTTTCCCAGGCATTTGAGAATGTCCTTCTTGTTCACAGTGTTTCCATCCCAGCCCTTACATCTGCCTAAGTGTACAGATAAAAAGTTTTGTCCTAATTATCCATTGTATCTTAAAATGATGGAGTGGGGGCAGGCAGAGGGGAAACCCACTAAAATTATGAGACCCTCATTTTCGCTTTACTTTACTTAAAGCTCTCGCCTCCACTGAATCTTGACCCAGGGGTAGACGCTGCTTATCCTAACACCCAGCAGATTCAGCGAGGCAGGAACTGAACAGCTGGGAACTGTAGCTTCAGCCCAGACTCTAGACAAAAAAAACCATTTTGTGAACGATAAATTGTCAAGTAAGACTCAGTGACAACACATTAATTCAAGTGACTTCAATTTTATTTTTTTTGTTTATCTTCAGAAGGTGGGAGAAGTGTCGGTAGAGCATCTCCCCACCCCTCTCCCCACCGAGCCAAATTACTCAAGAACTGGGATCTAGGAAATGCAATAGTAGACCATCAGTGGTACCATTACGTACAGGTGGTTACAGCACCGTGCTAAGCCAGGGTCCGAGCACTGACGTTCGTCCCGAGGACCTAAGCACTGTTAACTGCAGACTGCTTTCTCACAATACACCCACTGTCAGAAGACAAGGCCCTGGCAAGGTGGTTGGTGAACGGAAACAAATCTATCTACGCTAATGGAGGAAAAAGAAATCCCATGGTGCTACTGATAAAGGTTAACGGACTCTGATCTGTAAAAGAAAAGTCACACATATTCTTAGCTCTAACTCAACATGGCTCAATCTGAACTAGCTGATGACAGTTAACAGGCACCTTTATCTTACAACTAGTGACATTCCACAGCAAGCCACAGTAAAGGCCTTGACATTGTTACGTAACCCATGGACCTATCAATTCCACATGGACATCCTTTCCTCTTAACTGTGTACCACATTTTTTTTTGCATATTTATCATTAGTCATTTGGTTCAAAGTACTGTGAAAAATTCAGCTAGAAAATTATTCATAAAACTGTATTCTGTATTTTATTTTCAAACAGCCAAGTGTCCACATTTAAAATGCAGAATTTGCAAATATAAGTTAATCTAATAATTCAATTGAAAATAAAGTAAAACAGCTTCCTTTAGTATCACAATACATAAAACAGCATCATAAACTCCAAGAGGCGAGGGGAACTCTATGACGACAGTGCCAAAGGCTAGGAACTCATCAGACTTCGCAATGTCAGTTCATGTCTCATGACCAGGCATGAAACAAGCCACCACTGTGTTTGAATGGCTCAGTGATTCACTCATGGTATAATGTGGGGGTCAAGCAAGATGGTTATTTTGTTTTTTACAATGACAATAAAAAAATCTTTCAACAAAAAATCCTCCCAATTGTTTAAAAACAATTATACATGGAGGACAATTATATTTTTAAAATATCTTGGCTAAATTTCAATGGTTAGGCTGCAGACTGCAGTGTAAAAGTTTGTATTTAAAAATATCACAAATATAGTATTTAACAGTGAAAATTTCAATGTGGTTAAGTTTCACTGTGAAGCGATTTCACCTGAGTAGACTTTGAAATCTAGTGCTCACGGTTTTGGGGAAAGGGAAGAAAAGCCCCACTTTGTATCTGATAATTTGCAGATGATTCTCCCACCGACCCCTTAGGGGTGGCAGGAGCCATCTGCTGTGGCCTTCCCTTTCCCGTGTAAATTTACTCTGGCATCTTAGGACTTCTCAGTATCCATCAAATATTTCCATGTAGCTACCCAATCAAGCATAGCAACCCAATTCACTCAATTCTATACAACGGCCTCTACATTATATACATGTTTAATTAGCAATAGGAAGTAGAAAATAAAAATTTACAGTGATTGATTGAGAAGGGGTCAGAAAATAAGACAGGAGAAAGTAATACTGTATAATCAGAATATCCTATCAGCCTACCACTTTCAATGACAAAGTTTTCTTTTATTGGTTGGAATACAAAGAAGGCATAAGGGATTCCAGGAAAATAACACTATGTTCTCAGAAAATTCAACGTGCTCCACCATCAGGATTTCCATCACACATTTAATTTCTTCTGTACAATTTTTATAAATGTGTTTTTCTTTTCAAAGTCATCAGATTTCCAGGTGAAACTCAGCACTACACAGTATGCCCTTGAAGCAATGAGGTTAACCTGCTTTATTTGGGTACCAAGGTCCCTTCCAGACAGCATTAAAATAAAGACAAGTAAGACTAGACAGATAAAATCCAGTATAATTCAAACCCGACAATGAAAAATTTCCCCCATATTGTTGCAAAATTCTTTCTACTGAAATGCTTTGCTACAATAATAAAAAGCATACATTACATAGAAAAGGTACCAGTGTACTAAAAAGTGACAGGAGTGGACTAGCAAATCCTTCAAAGCACATTATATAAATGACTAGCATTAAAAACGTTTCCCTATAAAATGTAGGTCATAATCATTTATAAATTGGCGGCTTCATTTCTAAAGCAGTGACGGTGTTCAGAGAGCTGTTCTGTACAGTATAGTATCTACTCACTTCAAGCTATAAGTTTGTCTTTCTTTGTATTGAAGTTGAGTAAATTCATCTGGTCAGCTGAGAAATCAAGCTTGAAAAATAAGTATCTAAAAATCAAAGTAGAAAGTTTAGAATCACTGAAATGTAACTATGAAGTATGAAGAATTTTATCAACTTCACAATTGAACTGAAGTTACCTGAACACTTATGGGCTTGAATCTAAAACAGAAACACATATTAAAATCCAAAGCAAACCACGAAGTTAGGTAGCGGTACAGAAGCAGGAAAAAAAAACACATCCCTTCCTTCAGTGTGATGGGCACTAAGTTCTGCGGTCTTTCTCCATCTTTGCTCAAGAGTGGTAAGGCCATTCAATGCTTAGACAGAGTGAGAGCAGACGAAGCCAGGTCTAGCCTGTCTCCCCTGCAACGTCAATTAGGCTGTGTAAACAGTGTTACGTTCCAACAGAAGGAACAATGGAATTTGCTTATAAAAACTGATTAAAGATAATCATTATTAAATGAAATAAGGATAACTAATAGCTCTGAAATGTTGCAATAGAACGTTCCTGATGCTACTTGGAAGTTAGCACTGCTGTGTTATTGCTTACATACAGTACAACATCACACGCCTTCTAACATAAAGCCGTACTGTGATTGGTCTGTACATATTTACAGAGTCTTAAAAACAAGCTGTAAAAACATTACATACTTTCAGACAATACAAATTAGCACATTGGTACTCACGTCAAACAAATGGAATGCATAACATTAATAAACATCATAAAGGAAGACTCACATCAAAGTCCTTGATTGTCAAGACACGTTTATATATAAACTCTAACTGTGCAGAATTAAAGATTCAATCATAGGTACATCCTTACTCGATGAACCATATTTACAGCATGGTATTGCATAAAAAAATAAAATAATGTTTACAGGGTTTTACTTTTTTTATCCATTGGATTAAAGAAAGCAACAAACACAACAAGAAATGTTTGTCTGCTTTAGTTTGTTTCCTACCAAAGTTTAGGTGGAAAAAGGAAACACACGGTTTTTATTTGCAGAATATAGCAAAAACAACTGGAAAATTATTTCCCTGAAATAAAGCAATTTGAAACGGAAAAGGTTTAAATTAAATTGCAGACTCAAATAAATTCTCACTGATTATAATAGTGCTTCTTCAAGTAAACAGACTGGAAAAGGACGAGCGCTCGTTTCAGACCCTAGGGAGTGCAGTACAGCGTGCCTACGCAAAGCTTCCCGGCCTCTTTGTATTTTTTTTAAAACAGCCCTTTAAAAAACCCAAATTAATGAAGTCAAAGAGTGGCAAAAGATCTAACTTCACTGGCACTTTGCAAGTGTTTCTCATCTGTGGGAATGAAAGCTTGCCCTGAGCACAAGGCCTTTTCTACCTCTCAGGAGATAAAATGACCCATTGCTGGCACCCTGAGTCAGAGCTAAGGTGGTGGATTCCTACCTGACTAGGTAGCACATGCACACTGTAGATCCAAAACACAAACAAACAAACAAAAAAGTAGGAGCCACTCAGCTACTCCAAACCCAATGAAATACATATGCAGTAAGAACCGAAGTTCAAAAAGCAATGCTTTCAGGTGCTGGAGAGCTCCTGCCGTGTCTAGTGGGAGGTCTCCCAAGCCCAGCCCAGCCCAGGAATGACCTGTGAGAGAAAGCAACAGGCTCAAGGCGAGCAAAAGCTGAGGGGCGCCAGGAGCCACTCCTCTAGACAAATTTGCTCACTGAGAGAGATGAGAAGTGTGAGCTGACAGGGATCCCTCTAAAGCAGCACACAAGGCCACTGCCTTCCTCTAATGCCCAGAACTTTCTGAGCCGAAGTGGAGAAACACAAACTTTTGAGATGCTTCTCGCACGCTGAAGAAACAAGCTGAGCCTGGGAGGCATTTGGGACTTCACAGTAAGAGTGCTGACTGTACTTAAACGGTAAGTCAATAAATATGCTGGCTATCGGTTATCTCAAATGCTTCTAACCTGGTAGGAAAGTCTGCCATCGTGTAGATGTAAAGAAATGTGTTTAAGACAGGAATGCAACGCCTGAAATTCTGTTTACAGAACTTCCACTTTCAAAGGCTTTTCTTCCTAAGCTTACCTGAACCACTCAGTAACTGTCACATTCTTAACCCTGTGCTGGTGATGTTATGTTACAAAGGAAACCCTTACACTGTACAAGAAACACATCAAGTTCTCAGCGGAACTTTTTTTTTTTTAAATCAGGCTCAACTTGGGAAATATATGTCTACTCTTATCAAAAGTACTATGAGAAAATGCAAACGCCCATTGAGGGTGAACACGGTCCCATAACACCTCATCTCGTGAAGCATGCCTGCAGATACAGGATGTGCCATAAACACACATCAGTCTTCGGATCAATAATGGCAGAACTTAAAATAGGTACTTCAAAGAAGTCTTAAAGTTCTTGAAGATCTGACAGCAAAGCTGTCAAATGGGAAAACTATGATTTCAAGCCAAGTTTCATAACAAAGTGTAGAGGAAGCCACATTACACATAACTTATATTCCTTGTCATAAAAATACCAACATATTAAAAAACTAAATGAGTGTAAGTGAAGGGTACTGGGGGAGGGTATGTCTTTGTTCCCTTTCTTTATGAGAACAGTCTTGGGATAGCATTAAATAAAAGAAAAATAATTTAAATGGATAACATACTCAACACTCAAACAAAGCACGCAGATCTACAGGGTCAACAGCAAAGTCAAAATGGAAGTTACAGAAAGCTTCACCTCCCAAGGGTACTAGTTTCAGGTTACCACTGGTGCACTGTGATAAAGATGGCAGAAACTTAAGTACAAAACCCAAAAAGGTGGAACAGATAAAAGAGGAGAGCTGAGTCAGTGTAACTAATGTTAAGTCTCCAAAAATTAAACCTGTCCAATGTATAACTCAAACCATCATTCTTCATTAAAGTGTATATATATATATATTTATGTATATAAAAGCACTATTTATTGTACCATGCTGTATTATTTTAAGACAAAGTATACATATATTAAAAAAAACATTCGTGGTATAAGGATAAAGTCTGTAGTTTATTTAGATTTTGAAATGCAACAAAAAATTTCCGATCACTTGTCTAGCTGAAAAAGAAATTGTAGTTACTGGAATCAGTAAGCACTTCCGCTTGTAAAACTGTCATGAGCAGTATTCACTTAAAAGTAACTTAAGTAAGCAATTAAAATGCCCATTGCTTTAGTTTCTTGGGATACTGTTTAATTATCCAATCTATCAAGAGTCCAGAAAGAGAAGAATTAAACCAGGTTTTACAGTCCAAAGATATCCCAACTTCCTTTTATTGCCAAAAAACAAAATTGTCAATTACGAGATGATTATGACACAACCATATCAAACCTAAAAAATCTAGTTTTTAACTTTGAGAAATCAAAAATACCAGATTAATTCTAAGTGCTCTATGTCAACTGAAGTGTGTAAAGGAAGATACATCTCAGCTTTCAAACGTGGAATATACATTTTGTGTAAGCATTATTTTCTTGGGAATGTAATCTACAGAATATTTCTTTTTTACTAAAACTTCAAACTTTGATACTTGCACATGAAAAAAAATCATAAAAAATATCTAAGTGTAGCTGTACAAAGAAACTGACACTGATATGCACACTTCCACGAGAAGTGACCGCTCCGACAGCTGGGTTTGGTAAAAGTTCTGAAGTATGCATACTTTAAAAGTAATTAGGCTTTTAAATAGTGGAGTCTTAGACTATCAGATTTTTATTACTTTTTTTTTCTTAAAAAAAACACATGTCAATATAATGCAAAATGAAGATCAAGGGTATATGGCATGTCATTTTTTAAGGTGGTTTCTTTTTATTCCCCCCTACAGGACAAACTACTTATTTAAGCCATAATCTCTTGACATTGAAACTTTAAGTTCACTGTCTGTGAAGTCTCCTCGGATTCCCTGCTGAAGTGCAATACTATGCTGAAAAACTCAGAAACAATATGAGGAAATTTCACACAATTACTACTCTCCTAAGAATGTACAATGTTATCAGTTAGGAAACAATTGTGCGAAAGTCTTTTTTTCCTTTTTATCTTGGTGTGGGTGAATAGCAAGGTTCTGATCTAAAACAAGTAATGCATTGCTTCTATAACGGTGACAACACGTAAGGCAGTTCAAGGAATGAGGACTAACCAAACGAAATGCAGTTATTGGATTATCTTGCTATTCTTAACAGCTTGCTATGAACGCATTGCTCTTAAATCTGTATAGCACTCCATTTTACACAGAGTAACCCCACTCTCGATTAATCTGTTCTAAAGTGCCAGTATTATTTACAATATATATTTTTATTTTTTAGCCAAAAGTCTGGCCAGTTGTGGCATCTGGTGAGGATGTCATCCCAGCTCTATTATCATTTACATTCACCAAGGGAAACTCTGAGAATTCAGCACTTGTCCCTGGTCCCCGAAGGTTCACCTGTCCATTGGCAGTGCTAAATTGAGTCGCTATTCCAGCTCTGGATCCATGATAGGGAGCACGGAAGGGCTGTTCAAAGGAACTCATTTGGTAAGCCTGGTGGACAGGCTGAGCCTCAGCTTTCTTCTGAGAAGTCACCTGATCCAAGAAGTCTGCTGTTGATGTGGTAGAGGCGTGGTTTGTCTCGTCACCTGAAAAGGGAAACGGGTGCTGTGAGTCACCAACTATCAGTCCAAAGTGGGACTTATCTGGAGTCGTTCTTAGTGGAGAATTCATTCCTGATCGAAAGCTATTGATGGGCATGGCTGCATAGACTTGCTTGTCTATGGATGAGAATGCTGGCGGATTTGGAAGGGTCTGGTTATCAGTCACAAAGTTAAGGCTCGGGCTATTCAAATAGGCATCGTTTTGGCTAGTTCTGTCCAAAGCCTGCTGCAGAAACTTGGAGTATTCCTGCAACATGTTAGCTTTGTCTGACGAGGATGCTTGGGAGCTTGATCCAACATTCTCTGACTGGGTGACTTCGGGTACGTCAGAAGAATTGATTGATATGCTAGAAGTCACTTCAGTATCTGCAACACTGAAGGAAATCTCATGCTGTCCATTAGCTTTGTGGGAATAATGGTCCAGCAGAGTCTGCAGGACCTCATCGGGAATAACATTTTTGTCATGATTGCTCTTAATCTCCACATTCAGTGCCTGGGAATCCAACATGGACGCTGTGGCACTTTCATCGATGACACTGGCCACAGCTGCTTGGGTGACAGAAGGCTGAGAAGCTATGGTGCCCACATTCAGAGCGTACTCCCTGCTGCTGTTACTTGCAGCTTGAAGATACCGCTTCTTCTTCAGAAACTGCATGGCATCGTCATAATTGGTACTGCTGTGCACAGGTTTGCTGGGCCCCTCCTGCAAGTTATCCACTTGATCAATGTCAGCACTGCCTTCCGAGTCCAGTAAAGACTGCTTATCCACAAGCTCAAACGCATACTTTGAAACCTTGCTGTCTTCGTAAGTGGAGAGGGGTGAAATGGTTTGACTTTGCTCCAGGGGCTGCTTCAGACTTCTCTTACTATTGATTTTTTTGAGAACCAACTTGGGTGGGTGTATTTCTCCAGACGCATCTTCTAGATGGGAGCCTCCCACTGAAGAGTGCGGCATCTCCACAGCGTACTCTGCGACCATGTACTCATCCTTCACCTTAGTGCTCGAGGAGTAGAGCGGCAGGTAATCGTTCTTGTCTTTCTTCATGTCGGACTTGTCCAGGGCACTCTCTTTGTCCATTCCAGATGTTTTCTTCTCCGTTTTTTGCCTTTTCTTTTTTGGCAGTGAATTATCTTTTGGTGATGTAGAAAAGCCAGAATCTTCCTCTGATGTCAGAAGGCCACCTTTGATGGCACATCTGTTGAGTTTTTTATCATGATTTTCATGGCACATACGTTTATGCTTCAATACACGATCTGTTCTGGAAAAATACTGTTGAAATCAGAGGTTGGAAGTGGATTTTTGTTGTTGTTTTTATGAATTTTTGTCAACAAGGAAAAGAAGAAAAGAAACAAGATAATTAATAACAATATAAATAATTCCAAACCAATTCACTGATCAAATTTCTATTATAAATCTAATCAAAGAGCTTAAAATCCCAGATGGCTCTAGCACTAAGTGGTATCTGTCAGTCAGTTCACACTGTAGCTGGTAGGAGAACTCACACCGGCTCACTCACCTGTAAGCAGTATTCACACTGGTAAGGCTTTTCTCCACTGTGAGTTCTCTTGTGCCTTTCCATGTGATATTTCTGTATGAATCTCATACCACATTCATCACAGCGAAATGGTTTTTCACCTAATACGTGATTTAAAAAAAAGTTAGAACAAAACATTGTTAAAATCATGGACTGCTTTGTCAAAAGAATTTCTGAACATAAACAACTTTAGACAGTCACAATAATTTGTTCCTTCGTAACGACCAAAAAAAAGTCTTCCATATACTAAAGGCTGAAAGCAGACACCTTAATGAATGTCACTGATGCAATCTAATGTAATTCTTGGGTACAGACTTTTTAAAATATTGTATCACACCTGGAGATTTCATTTACTCATTCATTCATGTGCCACACACCACGGCACACATAAGGAAGCCAAAAGATAACTTGTGGGAGTCACTCTCCTCCTTTCACCATGGAAGTCTCGGGTGTGAACTTTCAGGTTTTCAGTCAGTCCTGACAACAAGCATCAACATGGGCTGAGTTGGCTGGCCAGCCCGGGCACAGTTATTTTAGTCTTAGTTTCTTTCCTTTCTAATTTTTAATTTTAAATTACTACATTTACTTGGAGGTGGACACGTGCGTGCTGTGGAACGTGTGAAGGTGAGAGGACAATTTGAAGGAACCCATTTTCTCTTCCCACCATGTGGGTCCTAGGGATTGAACTCAGGTCATAAGGGTTGTTATGACTCTAATTCCTTTAAAAGCACTTGTGAGTCAATGAGATCTGGAATCCTAGGAAAGCACCTCTTAAAATCGAGTTTACTAATATGAACAGTACTGGGACAAAATTTCCCAAGTAAGGTTTGGGGTTGGGGAAAACATTTCTGGTGTGTGTGTGTGTGTGTGTGTGTGTGTGTGTGTGTACTGCATAGCACACATGTAGTCATGAGTTTCATGCCTAGAACTACAGACACAAAACAAAAGTAAGGTCTATTTGCCTCTCTTAACTCAAACCTGAGTTTCTGGTGTTGTCTGAGGAAAGAATTAAATCGAGTGCTATCAACTGGACACACAACTGTTCTCATCAGCCCTTTCTTTAATCCCGAAGGATTTCTTAGCTATGGGGAAACATTACTGTGAATTCAAGTAGCTTGCGCTGATAAACAGGGATGTCTGAGTGAACAGCGGAGTAACAGGGTGCTCTTGAATGCTTCCCAGAAAACTAATGCTCCCCATCACACATTCAACAGAATGTTACTGAATACTGTAAAATGGTCTCTTTCCCTATATCCCCCACGTATGTGTATATAAGGTATATCTTTCATTATGCTAATGAAATAATGTGTTTGTAGTACTTTTTTCAGTTGCCTCTTGGTTTTCTTCTTGAGATAAGGTCTCACTATGCAGACCATGCACCCTGCAGAACAAGACTGCAACCTGTGTCCTGCCTGGTTTAGCTACTGTTCCTACATGCTACATTAAAGAGTAGTAGTGCTGGTGTTCCTGATTTGGGAACTTGGGTGTCTGCTGCTGCTGAATGGAAGTGGAAGTAAAATGACCAATACATCTTCTCTATGAAAAATTAAAAAATTGAAGGAAACTTTTTTGAGACAACCTTTTTACTGCTTTTTTCTTGAAGGGCTTGAGCCCCTCTGTTGGAAAAGGAAGCCAATCTAAATAGACTACTTAAACAATTTTAAGACTGACATATAAATTTACATGAAATGTAGTAAGTTTGTGATTATTTTAAAGCTCGTTCAGGAAAGCATAATGCTAAGAAAGACAACCTCATTATGTCCCACAAACATTGTTCCTATTGCCCAAGGACTCTGCGGTTTCTTAGTCCTGACTGTGGTGTTCCACGCTGGTCACATGACACTGCAGACCGTCAGCAGCCTACAGGAAAGGATGTAAGAATCTTGTAACAGATGGGCACCTGCTATGACTTGAGTGTGTCCCACAAATGTTCCTGATGTAATGGCACTGGGAGGCAAGGTGAAATCTTTTAAGAAATGGAGCCTAGTGTAAAGTGATTACATCACCTTGAAAGGAACTAACATTTTTGGTATCCCTATAGCTACTTCTTTCAAGAGAACTAAGTGGTTGCTCTGGCCTCATGTTTCGCCGTCTGATAACTCACACTCTGCCATGATGTGACATGGTTAGGGCCCTTACAGAGGCTGAGGTAACAGAGCTACAGAGCCTTGACCTTTAGTTTCCCAATGGCAAGCTGACAGAACGTGCTTTCTCTATGAAGTACCCATCAGCCTGTGTTACTTCAGTTAGGTAGGTATTCTACTACAGTAGCTATTGGGTAGATCATATGTATGAGTATTGCAAGGACCTAGGCTTCATGCACAATCATCTGATTTTGACAGTCTGAACCAATTCTTCCTCTTTAAACTTTTTTGCAAACTAGGTTTAACCACCAAACTACCAAAATGGATCTTTTTGATGCTGCAACCCAGCCCAGGATGGCATGAAACTAGCTATTTAAGGCCATGCTGGTCTCAAATTCACCATCCTGCCTCAGTCTTCCAAATGCCAGGATTGTGGCAGGTGCCACACCAGGCTCAGAACGCTATTGGGAATCACCGAAAAGATCCTTAGTGCCATTCAGCTAGGTGACACTGTTCCTTCTGAACTGAACTGCACTTCATCCTGGCTTCTAGGACATCCACACCCCTCAGTTCCTCTAACTGCTCCTTCTGAACGCAAAGCTTTAGTTCTAGAAGACCATCCTTGAGCCATCTATCTGCCTTTCTCACTCTATGTTGTTTTCTTTGCCAAGAAGGAAGAAAACTCATCTATGATCATGGCTTTAATTATGCTGAACTCTGATCTCCAGATACACACTGCCAATCTATCTATTCAACATAATCTACTTCTTTCTTTTTCACTTTAGATTTCTTTTCTTTATTTTATGTGTATGAGTACTTGCCTGCATGCACATATGTTTATCACATGTGAGCCTGGTGCTGGAGGAGGCCATAAGTAGGTGTTGGATACCCTGGAACTAGAGTTATAGGTGGTTCGGAGGCATCATGTGTATGCTAGAAATTAAACCTGGGTCCTCTGCAAGGGCAGTCAATGCCTTTTAAACATTAAGCCATCTCTCCACACCTGACATTTCTGAAAATTAAGCATCTCAAATACATCACATCTCAAACTAAACCTAAGATCTTCAACCACAGCTTAGATTACAATGGTGTTGCTGCTCACTTAGCTATGCAAACCAGGCCTGCACAACTTGACTCTGTCTTTCTGTATTTGCCCAATTAACGGAGCCTACAGGTTCCTCTTAGTTTCCCACTGTTATCACCCAAGTTCAAGACATTTCCTGACCTAGAAAGTGATATAATGCCCTTCTAACTAGTTGTGTTAGTCACCGTTTCCTTGCTGCAACAAATATCTGAAATAAATAAAAGGAAGATTATTTTGGCTCACACTTTCCCAGGTTCCAGCCTACGGCTGGCTCCACTGTTTTGTGAGTGTGTTGAGGTAGAAAACTGAAGGCAGTGGTGGTAGCCACGGAAAAGTCATAAAGGTACACGCGTAGAAAACCTTACTGAAGAACCGCGCCCATCAGCTGGCCTGTGGTCATGTCTGTGAATGATTGTCTTGACTGACATTGATGTGGGAGGGCCCAGTCTACTGTGGGGACATCATTCATACACACATGGGTCTGGGTAGTGTAAGAAAGCAAGCTGAGCGTGGGAGAGCTGAGTGGGAGAGAGGGTAAGCAGTATTCCTCCATGGATTCTGCTTCAGTTTCTACCCTGAATTCCCTACATGATGGATTGTGATTGGGCAGTGTCAACCAATAAAACCCTTTCCTCTTCTCAGATGCTTCTGGCCAGAGCATTTTATCACCGGCAGAAAAGCAAACACAACCACATAAAGCCGACAAGCCGAGTTCAATCCCTAGGACCCAGAGTGAGATCAGAGAACTGACTGTAGGTCTTATCCTCTGCCTTCCACATAGGCTCCATGGCACATACATGCCCAAACACATGTTCACATCATACATGCATATGCACACACAACACTGGTGATTAATTAAGCACTTTTAAGAACAAGGGACTAGTGACCAGAGCTGTTCATCTCATGGTGTCCAGGAAGCAGAGAAAACAGGAAGGAACAGGAGAAAGTATAGCCTTCCCCTGATCCCTTTCTCTCAACTAGACCTTACTTTAATTTTTTTACTATTTCCCAATGTCATCGTATTATAAATCCAAAGGATAATCCATTGAATACGTCAGAGCCCTCATAACTGAATCAACTCTCAGTGGACTTTAACCACTTGCTGAGGGCCAAGCCTTCAACATATAAGCCTTCTGAAAAACATTTCATTCTGTAACCCTAAACCAGTGGTCCTGTTAGGAGACATGTTCCCCCTCTAACTCCACAGCACAGCAAGAGACTGCTGACAGAAGCACAACTGGCCACTTTAAGTTATCACTGTGCTCGCTCGCTTGCTCCCTCCCTCTGTTGTCTTTTTGAGACAGGGTTTCACTGTGTAGCCCTGGCTATCCTAGACTTCACTCTGTAGACCAGGCTAGCCTCAAATTTGACTTCTCAGCTCTAACCTTTCTTCGATTCCAAGTTGCTATGTGCATTTCCAACAAAACTCCTCCAAATTAGTTCTTATTTTAATGAGTGGAAAGTATTTAATAGTCATGAAACTACATTGTAAGCAAAACTTTTAAATAATAAAAACTTATTAAATAAAATAATTTAAAAATAAATTATTAAAAACCCAGGTTCAACCTAGGTCCAATCTATTTATGACCTAGGCACAGTGGTAGAAACCAAGAATCCCAGTACTTGTGAAGTGGAAGCAGGCTCAAGGGCACCTTTGGCTACACAGTGAGCTCAAGACAAATCTGAACTGTAAGAGATCCTGCTTGACCCACCCAACAAAAGGAAGAAGAAATCACACCTCTGACAAAGATCAGTTGGTCTTAGTAAAATATTCTTGACAAGTGAAGTTTATACTGCACAACTTTAACTTTTTTGAGACAGGGTCTCCCTCTGTAACCCAGGCTGCTCAACTTCACAGCTATCCACCTGTCCTAGCTATAAGTGCTGGGATTACAAGCAAGAGGCACCATATTTCGTGTAACTTATTGGTTAA